ATATTTTGTTGTATGAATATCTGAACATGCAATACATCAAAATAAAGAACAGTGCCTCTACTTTTAAACAACAACAACAAACAATTCGTTTTATTCAAGCTTCAAGCATTCTTTTTTTTTATCAACACCTGTATGTAGGTAAGTTTCACAAAAAAGCAACACTTTGATCAAAAAGCATTTTTATCAAAGACTACATCTGGATCATATTCATTCCGATGATCAAAGCATAGATGCAGTAGAGCGCTTCCATCAACACCCCCAAAGCTTCACAGTCCTTTACCACGTCCGGGATCGTCATTTCACTCTGTAACATTAGGAAGTTTTCATTTATATGCTGTTTATTGTTGATGATCGCATTTTTTTTCATATGCATCTGCTTACATATGAAATTGCTCGTTTCTGCGTCTTCCTCTCCTGTGTTTTTGATCGGGTGATTGTGGACTCATTCAGATGCGTAATAGTGCCCCCGAACACAGAAACCCGGAAAATTCCGTGTTTGGCAGGGAAAGAGTTAAGGTTAATATATTTTAAATGTATTAAATTGCAACTCCATCATTACAAATATGTAATTACAAATATATTTAAATACATTACATAAAAGTTTCAATAGAAATTACAGCCAGTTAGCGAGTACATTCAGCAATACACTTTAACCATATTTCAAAGACAATAGAATTATGAAATTACACATAAAAATGTGCTTAAGTCCTACTTAAGTGGGTCAAAACTAGTTCACTACTTCACTAGTACATGACTAGTTCAGCTACTTGCATTGAATATAAATTTGAACTATGATACATTTTAATTTAATTGTAAGTAACATGCAATTAAATGTCTGGAAGTATTGCATTCAGTTCGTGCTTAAAGGAACAGTTCACTCAAAAATAAAAATCTGCCGAAAATTTACTCACCCTCAGGCCATCTAAGATGTAGGGGAGTTTGTCTTCATCATTTCTTCATCAAAACAGATTTGGAGAAATTTAGCATTACATCACTTGCTCAACAATGGATCCTCTGCAGTGAATGGGTGCCGTTAGAATGGAGGAAGCATTAAAAATGATTATGGACTTGTATTTTGCCCAGCAGCGACGGTTCAAAGTTAAAATGCCTTAATAATGGATTCGTTTGTTACAAACACGCAGCTTTTCACTTTGCAAGATTGACTCTGATTGATCACCGATTGACTGGAGTCACATCGATTATTGTGATGTTTTTATCAGCTGTTTGGGCTCTCATTCTGACGGCACCCATTCACTGCAGAGCATCCACTGGTAAGCGAGTGATGTAATGCTACATTTCACCAAATCTGTTTTGATAAAGAAATAAACTCATCTAATGTACATCTTGGATGGCATGAGGGTGAGTACATTTTCAGCAAATGTTCTTTTTTGAGAGAACTATTCCTTTAAGTATATTATTTCCATAATAATTAAAGTATGCCAACCATTCTTATGTGCATTAGATGGTCAGTGAACGGACTCTGGACCGTCTGAGGCCAAGTCTGGTTTAAGCTGGTCTTTTTTTTAGCATGGCATGGAATGTGGGATATTTATTTACAGAGCAAATTGTGTATGGGTATGAGAGAATGGGACACTTCAGTCCACAGCAAAACATCTTCCAGAACATCTCTCTCCAACTCAGCTAGTCAGTCAGACAGACCAGAACGCATCTTAATTAAGGCATGATAACATGCTGGAACGGTAAGCATGAGAGAAAGGTTAGATTTAATTAGAGAAGGCAAGCGTGAATATTTAATAAGCGTGGCCGAAACTAATTACAAGAGCAGGGCGGCGATGAGCTCGTGCACCGTTTCAGCATGGATCAACAAATCACACCCAACTACAAGTCAGACTGACCGTAGCGTCTCTAATCCCTCACAAAAGAATTGGAAAGGCAAGAAAAACGCTTACTGCAGCAGAAGTGAGAGTTATTGACCAAACCCAAACCTTCTCGACCTTCAGATGAAACCCAAACAAGTGAAGTGTCTGGGCACCGAAGCGGGTGGTTGACTAGGTGATGTGTCACTTTTTCAGGTGCTGAAGTGCGTGGGGAGATCCCACGAAAGCATCTCCTACCTCTTTCTCTGCTATTGGCGAAGCGGCCATGGTAACAGCTAATCGATCGCTCCTGAAATCCCCCAACACACCCTCGCCGGGAATGATCAATATCCCTAGCAATTAGAATCCCCTATCTGCATGGCTGCAGGGACCTCCGGGTAGATCTGTGGCCCACAAACACCCAATTTAGTCCTCAACTTACCACTTAATTACTAAATCCTCTGTAATGCGTATTGGCAGATGGGAAGTTGTGCTGAGCACCAGCGGATGGCTGACTGAACAAGAGACCTTTGGCAAGGTGCTAGTTAAGATGCGCTTTCTCGTCCTCTTCCAGCCAGTTAAACATCTGTTTCACACATGGATCCAGACCCACGGTGATTCCTCCATTGAGCAGCACACCTTCTCATAGGAGGGCAGAGCGAGAGGTAAAAGTAGCACGCCAAGGGTCATGAAGGCAAAAACACACTCTGAACTGTCCTGAGAATTGCAGCTTCGCTTAATAAAACTCGGTTAGTGTCAGAGACACTGGCACAGTGGAGTGTGCACATGCTCAAGACATGTAATGAAAGAGCTGTTGGATCACTGGGAACCCGGTTTGAGTCCCAATCCCATTCTCTCTCTCCCTAGCTGATGCTGCATGCAAGTCCTCCTGGGAAGCTCATAATTATGGGTTCATATAGTATAATTATGTAATTATGACTGTGCATTGAAGTGATTTTGTTTGGAACATAATGGAGCAAATTTACACATTTGTAACTTCATGGGTTTGTATTAATCAGATAGCTATCTGGTTTGTTTCATTTAAACTTGGCCACATACAGTAAATGTGTCTCAGCAAAACTAATATAAATCCAACCTTCACTTACACTTCACTTGCTATATGAAAATTCAACAAGTTCAAGCAAAACACACACACTGCGTTTTATCTATCATTAGATCATTTCAAAATCAAAGGCCTCAACAGCTGAGAGAACGTCATCAGCACTGGTGAGAGAATTCAGCATTCACCCCTTTTAATGAAGATGGCTGTATCTTAAACTTCAAGATGCAATGCTGACCATTGAGTTGCATTTGCAGCAGTTTCATTTTTTGCAGTTTTGGGAAGAACCTAACTGAAACAAAAAGTACTGCACAATTTTGGACTAAACAAGCTTCCGTAGTCAGCTGCGCTGTGCATTATGGGATGAGGCAGAGCCGGCGACAGCCCAGCACTGATGAGGGGGCGGCTGAGGTGACGAAAAGGGGCGATGAAGTAGCACAAAGTAAAAGAAGGGGAAAATAAAAAAAAAAAAAAAAAAAAAAAAAAAAAACAACTTCCACTGAATTTATTTGAACTTGAGCGCCATGTTTTAGAATGAGAAGCTGCTATAAAGACCTGAGACGAGAACAGCATTCAAAGACGTCGAGTAGCGCATTTACATTGAAATAGGCTACAATGGAAAAGTACAGCAGTGGAATGATAAAATGCGTTCTGAGTGAATGACCCTACTACACTTTGCAAATACAGATGGCAGAGTATTGAATAAAACAAAATCGCATAGCCACCTAATTCGAAAATCTGACATCCAGGAAATAAGGCAGCAGTTTTACCACAAATAAGGACAAGTTGTCAGACTCTGTTCCATGTTTTGTGTGTGTTCCCTGACATAACACATTCATTGCGACCCATTTAACAGATGCAGCATTTTAAGTTAGAACAACTTGAACAGCAACAAACAATAACAATACAGCGAAATAATCAACTATCATCTAGCCCTCTATCAAACATTAAAAAATGATTTCATCATACATTGATAGCTTACTCAGTAGTGCTGCATCCTTAGTTGAACCGCTTGCGCGGGAAGTTTGTGTGTCAGATGTAACAATTAAAATGCAACTTTGTGAAACGGACTGTCCTAAATTGTTGCTATAGTAGCATCATATTAATGCTAGAAAGCCTATGCATTTGGCAACTATATTTTTAAAATAAATAAATCTATTTTCACACTCATCTTGAAATGTGACTTGTTGTAGTTGGCCCCCTCAGCAATCAGTGTGGTGTGAAAAGGAACCAAAATGGCTGAAAAATGCCACAATGTATAATTTTTGTCCTTGGTCTGGACCAAATGAACCGAACTACAGACGTAAAAGCACCCTCAAACTGCCTCCTGAAATGGTTTGTGCAATCAGATTGCAATTCATCTCGAATGCGTTTTGGAGGGCATTTATACATCATTTTTTAGTGATTGGACAGCTATCTGATCAAAGAAAATGCATGTTTTTTTTTTTCAGCCAAAGAAGCTTTTTAGCAACTGCAACACAAAATCGAGAGCAAATAATGTATATTAGGTGTGCAACTGATGTGTACTTTATCAAGGCTTCCATAGAGTGCAACAGTGCCCTTGGTTCCAGAAGTATTCTTTCCATAAGGGGGTTTAAAAAGTCTTTGTTAAAGAGAAATAAACTATTACCAAGTCATAGCAACATTACAAACTTTAATTTTAAGCAAAGACGCATTTAAAAAACGAACAAAAAAAGTTTTGAGATTTAACAGCTTTAATAAGAAAGATCTACAGTCCAATGATGCATTGCGAATTACATAATTGAAAAAAATACAATGGAGGAATATAAAACTATTGATTTAAAGATGTTGATTATATATACAGGAACAATACATCTGCAAAATATGCATATTATGCATGCATATATTTAAGCATTTTTGAGAGCATAGGGAGATTCTCTGATTGATAAAGATTTATATATTTTTTTTTTTTACAAAACTATGGGTAATGTAGTTTCTCACCCAGAATCCTGCTGTTAAACAGGATTATTCAAAAAATAACCGGAAACAATATGCACTGATGGCTTCAACAAAAGCATATTCCATCGATTAACAACACCGTAGCTCACAGTAGGCCTGTCTGTAAAAGTTAAAAATCAATTCCCCTATGGAGAAAATGAATAGGATTTTACTTCCGGATCCTGACTGTTGCACTCTATTATCAGGCTACCATAGAGCATCATGGGAAATGTAGTTTTAAATTACTACCTTCATTTTAAATGACCAAATAGTTTTCTTTGGTAATCGACAGCTGCCATCCATAGAGCTTAAGTTGTATTTACCCTGAAATATGCCTAAAATAGACCTAAATAGAGAAAATCAGGGCTCAAAGAAAATCCAGGGTTTCCCACTGGTAATACTGGTATTGTGGTGGTGTTCATGTGTGCTCATCTGGTAAATACGATCATTCACACATGACTTGAAGGCAGTATAAAGCTGAGAAATTTGGATTAATCGTCTCATAGCTTCACTAGCTGCCTTAATATGAGTGTGATATGAGAGTGTCATCCTGAGGAACTGAGTTTGGAAAGCTGTCTGCTGTACTATGCTGTCCAACTAATCACTCAAACTGCATTCAAGCACACTGGAAAACAGTCAATGCTGAGAAAGTAAGCAACCTGCATGCTGTCATTTTTGCTCACAGGTGTTTAATTCTGGACACCGAACTGTTTTTGAGCCAATATGTTGAGTTGTAATTACCATGTGACTAATCACTTAGGAGTCACAGGGAAATGAAGACTTGAGCTGCGATGTCAGTTATAATAAAATACTGCTATGATTGTATGTTGCTGCAAACAGTTTTGTCAGAATACATAGTTACTTTTGAATGGACATCTATTTTTTCCCGTATAATTGTGTAGTTGTGGCATCTACCAGTAGGGGCTAACTGGACCAGGCTGACCCCCTGATTTTGAGTTTACCGTGAGTCCTGCAGCTCCTGTTGGGTGCTTTCCAGACTGTCTGTTATTCTCTTGAGCTCTGCCTGGAGTCTCCTCTGGGCTTTCTCTGCCTGCACCACCTCCGTCACACGCTCTGAGAGCTGCTCCTGAGCCAGACGCTGACCTCTCTCCAACAGCTGCACTTTCTCCTGCTGCTGCGTCAGCTCCTGAGCTGAAACATACACACATATAAAACATTTTTGATTTCACTTCAAGAGTATCAGAGTTCCGGATACGTATAACAATATATACACTACCGTTCAAATGTTTGACGTCTGTAAGATGTTTTTTGAAAAAGAAGGCTGCATTTATTTGTTTAAAAAACATAGTAAAACAGTGAACTGTGTTCTATTTGAATGTATTTTAAAATGTAATTTATTCCTGTGATGGGAAATCCGAATTTTCAGCATCATCCAGTCTTTTCTCATACTCCAGTCTTCAGTGTCACCAGATCCTTCAGAAATCATTCAATTATGCTGATTTGCTTCTCAAGAAACATTTCTCATTATTATCAGCTATGATTGTATGTTGCTGCAAACAGTTTTGTCAGAATACATAGTTACTTTTGAATGGACATCTATTTTTTCCCGTATAATTGTGTAGTTGTGGCATCTACCAGTAGGGGCTAACTGGACCAGGCTGACCCCCTGATTTTGAGTTTACCGTGAGTCCTGCAGCTCCTGTTGGGTGCTTTCCAGACTGTCTGTTATTCTCTTGAGCTCTGCCTGGAGTCTCCTCTGGGCTTTCTCTGCCTGCACCACCTCCGTCACACGCTCTGAGAGCTGCTCCTGAGCCAGACGCTGACCTCTCTCCAACAGCTGCACTTTCTCCTGCTGCTGCGTCAGCTCCTGAGCTGAAACATACACACATATAAAACATTTTTGATTTCACTTCAAGAGTATCAGAGTTCCGGATACGTATAACAATATATACACTACCGTTCAAATGTTTGACGTCTGTAAGATGTTTTTTGAAAAAGAAGGCTGCATTTATTTGTTTAAAAAACATAGTAAAACAGTGATATAATGGAATATTATTCCAATTTACAATAACTGTGTTCTATTTGAATGTATTTTAAAATGTAATAATGTATACTTGAGAAATAAAAGATGCATACAGTATAGCTCATTTGCTGGGTAGCCAAATATTTGTAGTTTTTACTTTTACATGCCTGATTTCTATTTTAAAAATTGCACTATGTTTGAGGGTGTTATTCACTAACCTGTGGACAAACTGGTTGTCTGACAAACTAAAACCCTGAATACAGTGTTTATACTATTTAAATACTATTTATATTATTCTAAAGTTTTGGGTCTATAAGATTTTTTAGAAAGAAATCTCCTATGCTTTACAAGGCTATATTTATTTGAGCAAAAATACAGTAAAAAAACAGAAATATCATAGTAACATTAATATTACTTTTGTTTTAAATACTGTTTTCTATTGTAACATTTTAAGATATAATTTATTCCTGTGATGGTAAATGAATTTTCAGCATCATTACTCCAGTCTTGAGTGTCACATGATCCTTCCGAAGTTATTCTATGCTGATTTGCTTCTCAAGAAACATTTCTCATTATTATCAATGTTGAAAACAGTTGTACTGTTATATTTAATATACTGGAAACCCTGATGCATTTTATTTCAGGATTCTTTGCTGAATAGAAAGTTCAAATAAACAGCATGCATGTATTGATCGATTGATTGATTTATTACAGTGTACACATCTGTACATGTCACTTAAATGACTGGAATGACAATGATCAATTTCATGCATCCTTGCTGAATAAATCTTATATAAATCTGAATAAGTCTTATATCAAAAATGTATATATTCAAAACTTCATTAAGTCTAAGTCATTATATGTTGTCGCTCATACTAATCCCTTTCAAGGTTATACCACGGCCACATCTGCCTGTCTTCATCTATGTTGAGGATATTGTTTCTAACGAGCATCATTCCCACAGTGGTGTGTGTGAAGATGTGCATGTATCTGATGGCTTGAGGCTCTGAATTGATGGGCTGTTTCATTTCAGACGGGAGACTGCTGAAGAACACAAACAGGTGCACATGCATATTCTGACAAACCCACATGCTCTATCACACAGATTTAAATGCAATGGGTTATCTCTTGCAAAATCAAGAGAAAATCACTGCCCTGCTGAAATGACCAAATTAGACCAGCATGAATTCCCATGCTTTGTTCTTGCGGGTCAAGCAAGCACATTTGAGTTTCCGTCTACCACATTTGATAGTAAACGGAAGAAACAAGCTTTCTTGGAACCAAATGTACTTTTCTGAGCCATTTTAACAAATACTTTTAATCAGCTGGCCCCAAGACTGAATGTGATTTTTAATGAATGTGTCCTATCAGAGTAAGCACAGGTGTAGTTTAGTGTGTAATACATTTAAAAAAACTCATAATCAGGCTACAGTTCCATTTCTATCGATAACATGATTATATATTATTTAGACAATGTTAATAAATTAGTCTTAAATTATTTATTATCCCTTTGTTTATATTTTAAGATTTCATTTCTAAAAAGCTTTTCAATTATATGTGTTCAGAAAGACTTTTAGATTTGTTGGTTAATGTTTAATGGTCACGTAACATGCAAATAAACAAATACAATATTTAATACTTTTTATGTGTATTTTATTTTGATTTGTTTTTATTTATTTTAATTTTACATTTTTGTGATTTAATTAATTATTAGATTTCCATTAACTTATGAACCCTTGCAGTTCCTTCAAGAAAACCACCGTTTGGATAACCCTGACATTTAATGCACTTCATGTTGCTGATAACAAAGAATGGGATTTATTTTCTTTGTATTTTAATATCAATATGGTACAATATGGATTATCCTATCCAAATTAATGTGATAAAACAAGTTAGGTCAAAAGTAATCAAAAAGTAGTCAAAATATATTACCTAAATTGTTTATGTTAATAACTACATTTTTTGTCATGTAATTTGCTATCATTAACTGACTACAATTTGTAAGTAATCTACCCAGCACCGAGTTTGGCTTAGGTGTCCAAATACTCCTTGGGGCTGCTGTATTTGCAGTTTCAGCCAATCTTCTAAGAGCATAAAGTATACTCTATGCTTTTTAGAATTATTTACATCATGGCAATCCACCATAAAAGTTCTACAGGTGTTCTGCTCTGTGTTACCTGTGTCTCTGCAGGTGGCGTGATACTCCTTCAGTTGTTCTCTGAGCTGAAGCATCTGTGTTTTGAGTGAGGCACACTCTTTCTCCCTTTGCCTTTTCTCTTTCTTGGCTCTCTGCAGATCAGCTTCTAGCCCTCGAGCAGAGACGGCCTGCCTCTCTGCCTCCGCCGCCTTGCTTCGGATCTTCTCCCGCGCCTGCAGAAGATCAGCCTCGGATTGTCTAAGTAGGGCGTCTCTCTTTTGGATAGCCTGAGAGAGAGTGACTGTGAGAATCCGCCACAGGCAAAGCATATCTGATCTGTACATACAGTGTGTGTATACTTGTTTACCTGGTCACACTGCCTTTGAGCTGCCTGTAGCTCTCCTTCTAGACTGGCTACCTTCTGTTCCAGAGAATCAACTTGTGCTCGTCTCCGGCCCTCATCCGCTGCATCCGCCTGGAGCTTTCTCACCTGCTCCTGCAGACGATGCACCTCTGCAAAACACACGGCTGATTGGAATCAGTGTGAGAATCGAGTGAGAAAGTGAACTGCGAGTTCACTCACCTGTCGTACTGGCATCTCGGTGCCGTGCCAACTCCAGCTGGCAGACCCGCAACTCCTGGGCACTCTGACCGCAGCGCTCCAGCAACTGGAACAGCGCCTAAGGACAAACACACACACACATCTCCACTAACATGCGAAGTCGTCACACAGCTGTCAAACTTCTGTGACTGTGCCTTGGGGGAGTCGTGTTGATGCCTGGGGCGCTGGAGGGGCCGACCTAAGGCGGATAAGAATTCCCCCTCTTCCCCGAGCTGTCTCCATCCCTAAGGCTATCTCTACGCCCACTGCTTCCGCTCGCCTCTTCGACTCCATTCCTCTCCAGTCTGGCCTTCATTTAGCATCCCAACTGCGTAATACGCCTGCTGAGGTTTCGACACAAGACAAACACCCGGTTTGTCCCTGACAGGTGTCGCCTCCAATCTGGCAGCCTGCGTTTTTGATGCGCTAACCATTCAATTAAGTTTCAGGGATGCTCTATGTGTGGGTGCCATCTCTTAATTACCCTGGGAACCGGGTTGCGCTCGCACGTCACGGCTCTGACAGGTGAACCGGCGTGTAACAGCGGTGGTAACATGTACCCGTGCTCTCGACGCCATGTGTCTGTCTGCTGCATGCAAACGGGACAGGTTTTAGCGAGATCTGATTGTGAAACTAATATAGCAGAGGTATAATCAGCAAACACGGGCAAGGTTGGGGGCCCTTCGTTTGGCACCATTAAAATAACGAGGTGTCACGGGGCACTTGGACTCAGCGCTCCAACGCCAACATGTGTCAAGACAAATCTATATTTCATGGCCACTTACAGATGTATAAATAGCCAAACGAGGTGCTCGAATCATCTATAAAACCCTGCTAAAAGGTTGCCAGAAGATGGTGGGCACTGTCAGCGGGACAGAAGGGTAATCAATCTGAGAAGGGGGAGCGGGTGGGCAGTGGCGTGAGGGGGGCACTAAATCACGTCGCTGTTGGCGTAGAGCGCGACAAATCGCTGACACTTCGGCTGACGCGCGAGCTCTCCGACAGCCTGATGGATCGCTCCACTACACTCCATTAAAGCTGGATGGCTCACTGCCACTCTGACATAACAAACAATTAGTCACAAAGGTGCCCATGAACTTGTACGAAGCCTCTCTGGTTTCAATCAAAGCCTGATAAATAGTCCCCAAGTTGCACGGTGTCAATGCATACAGTAACGTATGACACGGGGAGCAGGTGGGTCCATTTAAAGCCCATTTTTGTAACAGGCAGAGATTACCGTGATGGATCCATGCAGATGTGAGAGTAGCATGCGGTGTTTCTTTCAACTACAAAGACAAACAATGATAGTCCTTCACTCACGTGCTCTAGTTCCTGAACGCGGGACAGCTGGGATTCATAGTCTGAGTCGGAGTGAACGTGAGTGGCCCGGTAGATGGAAAAATCAGCCTGTGTTTTCACTACCATCTCTTCCCGCTCTTCAGCCTAGAAAACACATACACACTCAGCTCTCAGACAGTTTTTAGATTTAAATTCATATAAAACAACAGGCTATTTACATAATCATAACTTAGGGGGCAATAAACCTGATAATTGTCTTCCTGTAATTACATGGGCTCTAGAAACACGATGGTCATGGGTTTCATTCCTAGGGAACACATATACTAAAACATATATCTTGAATAACCTCACAGCCCAGTAGTGCCCATTTACCTGTCTTTTAGTTAAGACTACTGAATATTAATTAGGTGACAAATGATCTATCACCTAATTAATATTCATAAACCAGGATAATGCAGTTTATTACATGCCCCATAGTTTTCTGATTTCTCATATGACCCTGGAAATTAGTTAAATTATCCCTTTAAAAATAGTTAGAAAATAGGGAAATAAGTAGTAATCTGGAGAGAAAGAGTGGGCATTCATTATTCTGAACTGCAAAAGAGCATATAAAACCACAGATCAGCCTCGATCTGGTCTCTATTTTCCTCTTTTCGGTCGTTAAGGTCTGATAACAGGCCCTAATGCCTGTTAAGTTTTTCCTTCTGAGAAAGATAAATCAGTTCAGCACAGTGCTGTCAGAACTGAAGACTGAATACGAAACAATCCCAAATGGGCTCAGGCTTAATGAAGATAATGTTTCATGATGTTACACTGTATGTTGCTGTTAAAGACATAAAACAACGAGCTAGGAAAAGAAAGGAACCTTTCTTGGGGGAGTCGTGTTGATGCCCGGGGCGCTGGAGGGGCCAACCTAAGGCGGATAATTCGCCGCCATGGTTTACAGTACCACTGCTATGCCGATGATATTCAGATATACACTTCCTGCCGACCTGACTCTATTCACCAGACTGCATTTCCATTGTCATGTGTCAATGAGTTAAAGACCTGGCTTAGCTCCAACTCTCTCAGTTTGAATTTGACTAAAACAGATATCTTACTTGTCGGGCCCCCAACTGTAACAAAAAACATAACAAATGCCCCTAGATTTGACCTCGAAGCCACATTAATTATTCCATCTGCCACAGTTAAAAACTTAGGTATCATTCTTGACTCTTCTTTAAACCTAGATGCTTATACATTGCACATATCATACTGGCAATTTAATAATTGATTACACTAATTATCGTCCAATCTCCAACCTACTGTTTGTTTCAAAAATCATGGAAAAGGTTGTTGCTGCTCAATTGCAGTCATTTCTAACTCTCAATGAACACTTTGATATATTTCAGTCAGGTTTTCGTTCGCAACACAGTACTGAATTTGCTCTAGTAAGGGTTATAAACGACCTCATCCTTTCTGGTGATTTGGGCAATCTTTCTATACTTCTACTACTCGATCTCAGCTCAGCTTTCGATACTGTCTCTCATAAGCTATTACTCATGCACCTCTCAAAGACTGGCATCTCAGGAGCTGCGTTATCCTGGTTTTCCTCATATTTGATGGACAGACAATACTACATCACCATACATAATATAAATCTCCCTCTGTCCCTCTTAAACAGGGTGTGCCACAGGGCTCAGTCCTAGGGCCATTATTATTTATTATTTATATTATGCCCCTCAGACAAATTATTCGCCGCCATGGTTTACAGTACCACTGCTATGCCGATGATATTCAGATATACACTTCCTGCCGACTTGACTCTATTCACCAGACTGCATCTCTATTGTCATGCGTCAATGAGTTAAAGACCTGGCTTAGCTCCAACTCTCTCAGTTTGAATTTGACTAAAACAGATATCTTACTTGTCGGGCCCCCAACTGTAACAAAAAACATAACAAATGCCCCTAGATTTGACCTCGAAGCCACATCAATTATTCCATCTACCACAGTTAAAAACTTAGGTATCATTCTTGACTCTTCTTTAAACCTAGATGCTTATATTGGTAAGCTCTCCAAAGCTGCATTTTTTTCAACTTCGCCGTATTGCCAAACTCCGTTCCTTCATCAGCCCAAAAGATGCTGAATTACTAGTACATGCTTTAATCACATCCCGCCTTGATTACTGTAACGCTCTTTTTTTCCGGATTATCATTACTCATCTCGATAGCAATATATTCAAAATTCTGCTGCGAGAATGCGAACTTACACTAAACGGTCTGCACATATCACTCCTATTCTGTTCAACCTCCACTGGCTACCTGTGTCCTCTCATATCATTTATAAAATTCTTCAGCTTACCTTTAAGTCACTCTATGGTCTTGCACCTACCTATCTCTCTGACCTGCTTTCTCCATATATTCCCTCTCGGTCACTTCGATCATCTGGAGATGAACTTCTTTGTGTTCCGAGATTTCGCCTATTATCTATGGGAGGTAGATCTTTCTCTGTTATGGCTCCCAAACTTTGGAACACATTGCCCCTGGCTCTTCAAACAATAACCACACTCCACGAATTTAAGTCTAAACTCAAAACCTGTATGTTCAACCAATATTACCTGTTATTCTCTCTTTTTTTTGTGTGTGTGATTATGATACTGTATTATTACTGTGGTATGCAACTGCAACCGCATGTTCTGGACTTGGCAAATGTCTTGTCCATCTATGTATAACATGATTGTTTATTTGATTTTGTCATTGTGCAGCGTCCTTGAGATTGGGAAAGGCGCTATATAAATTAAACATTATTATTATTATTATTATAGTGCCTTAGGCACAATATAAACAAGAAATAGACATAAAATCATCAGACATCTAATCAAAACAAAATTAAGACCCTAAGTTAATTTTAAGGGGACTAAAATAAATAATACAATAAGATCTTAAGTTAATTTTAAGAGGACTAAAATTAATAATAAAAGGACTTATAAATGAATGATAAATAAATAAATAATAAACAAAATGTGCTTAAAGCGATAGTTCATCAAAAAAAAAAAAACTGACCATTTATTCACTCCCATGTGATTCCATCCTTATTGACTTTCTTTCTTCTGTGTAACATAAAGGAAGATATTTGAGAAATGTCACTGTGTTTTTTTTGTCCATACAATAGAAGTCAATGGTAACTGATGGTTACCAACATTATTCAAAATATCTTCTTTTGTGTTCTGCAAAAGAAAGAAGCTGCATGAGAGCAGTAGCTATGTCTAATTTATGAATGAAATGTTCATTTCAGTTCAGAGTACACAAAACCGATCTGAATGATTTGTTTAGAAATGAGACTAGTTGACTCAATGAGTAGATAACAGTCCACTGGAGTGGAAGATTATTGATAAATAACGACTAAAATCACACACAAAGCTATTATATCAATTCAGAAGATTTACAGACTTCTTTTAGGATACTTTTATGATGCATTTGCACTTTTCTTGAATCTTGAAAGCATCGGTCCCAGTTTATAATTCTATGGAAAGAACAACCTGCACATTCAACACTTGTGTTCCACAGAAGATAGAAAGTCATACAGGTTTGATAGGTCATGAGGGTGAGTAAATGACAACAAGTTCATGTTTGAGTGAACTAACACTTACAATAGTTGTATTAAAATAGTTAGAAGGCCCCTAGTCCAGCTGAGGATCATCTCAGAGAGTGCTACACAGCAGTCTGTCTACGAGTATATTACGGTCGACAGCTTCCACTGAGAATGAAGACGATGAGGTGAGGCGATTGACTGATGTGATTGTTTTACATCACAATCACAGATAAAGGAAGCTTTCCTTCTCACTCTGGTGAGGGTTATGTGCTGCAATGCCGACAGCCCAGCAGGTTCTGAGTGAGCGGGAACAATTAAGGGGAGCTTACACGTACGGGAAGGAGACATTGGTGAACGGCTGAAGGACGTGTGTGTTCTGACTCTGAGGTCCTGCCTGAAAACAGCTGGATCAATATAGCATGTATGAGTGTGATGTTTAGGGATTGTTAATGGGATGCTGGGCATCACAGGTATCTGAGAGGAGAAGCTGGAGGTGCTTGAGGAGAAAAAGGCACGGGAAGGTAGAGCAGGAAGGTCCTCACACCTAGTGTGCACTGTATCCGACAGAGATGACCGCTGGGCTGTAGACAAGGCCTGTCCCTCCACCGCTGAGAGCAATGCCCATTATTTCAAGCAGACACCGCAGACCCAGCAGGCTTTTCCACTTTACACCACCCAGCCACCCTCCCGGTGAATGTACACGCAAATCAAAACAACTTCAGGTCCATTTAAACACCAGTCGCTGTGTCTGAAAGGGCCACACATGCAAACCTTACCCAACAACTATGAATCAATAGCAACTTCAACTCCCAGAATTCCTCAAGAGAGCCACACACAGCTCTCTCTCTGACACTGGGGGAAATGAAACACCTGAAAATGCTCTCTCTTCAAATAGTGAGAAAAGTGAGGGTTTTGACCTGGATCGATACAATCCAGTAAGAACAACTCAAACGTATCTGATGCTCAGATTGGCTTTTGCACCCGGAGAATGGCGTAGATTCGCTTCCCCATTGTGTTCACACCTCAGGCTGCACTAACAAGCCACTTTCCACTGTTATGTGCGGTAACTAGATTTCAATTGGCTTGATATGCAATCCGAACCCAACAGAATTCAACTCTAGGGAGGAGACGAGTGTGTTAAGTCTGTTGCATTATGGGGCATTCATAGTTCAGATCTGCAGCCTTTCTCATACTCGATTTAATAGTTCACAGGTGTGAATATACAGTGGTTTTGCAGAAGTAGGACAACTTTTCTGGATCAACATCCCTAGAGTAATATTCCTGGGTCAATGACATGATGCTCATTGTTTTGATGGATCTAATAACTTTTTTAAACACATTAAAAACGTATACAATGACTTGAATATACCTCTTCTATGAGGAGCATGTTTTCTTTTCTATTTTTTTTTTTAATTAAAATTGATTTTTATATTTTTGGGGGGAGACATGAAGCAAAATATCAGGGTGATAAGGTTGAACTGTCCTAATATCATAAAAAGATAAAGTAAGAAATTAATAATATCTAATAACTATCAAGAAGTATATTTTAACAAAAATGTGTTACAGCTTTTTAATATTTGAAAAAACTGTTGTCTTACAATTAAAGTCATGTGATCTTTTTTATGACAAGACAAGACTTAATGATATTTATGAAATAATAACAAATAAATGCTACTGTGTGATAAAAATGTTCTATGAAACTATCAACCTTTGAACTATCATTTTTTCTTTACAATATAGGTACATAAAAAGGTAATAAAATTTAAATATATGTGAAAACATCCCCATTACTAATATCATCATTAATAGCTTTAAAAAAATAAGTATATAGTAAAGTCAGGCTGATCCAACTGTCTTGATATAATAATGATATCATATTTTTAAATACCTTTTCCTTTCCTTTTATCTTTTTTATTAAAAATGAAAAAAGGTAATATAGATAACAACATCTTCAACATCTATTTATTTATTTATTATTATTATTTTAAATTGATGATGATATTGATCTTGTTGTTTGAGAATATTGATAATAAAATTGTTTTCATTGAAGATCTTGTTCATCACTGACCAATCAACCAATCGGATCCCTTAAATTCACTTTGAGTTTAGTGATTCTTAATGGTTAGGTGTAGAGGTAGGGTTAGGCCTAAATTTGTTTGACATGAATGACCTAGATGTACTTGGGCCACCATGAAGGGACACACCTACTCAAGCTGTGGGTTAGTTAGTGGTGTTTCTGGTCGGGTTACCTGTCGGCGAAGGGTAGCAGCAGAGTCTCTGAGAGAGCTGATGAGCAGCTCACACTCCTGGCTGTGTTTACGGCTGTGCTCCAGCTCTCCCAGCGTGTCTCGGAGCTGCTGGCTTAGTGCGGCAAGGGCATCGTCTCCACTCTCCAGCTGGGCGCAGTGTACCTGCAGATCCCCCTGCAGAGCTACAACCTGAGCCCTCAGACGGAGGACCTGCTCTTCCCTCTGTGCCACCTGACGAGACACAAACGACAGCCAAAAGCATATCAGGACCACCACCGATGTCTGCTGCTTTGTGCTTTATAGTTTCAGTTTAGCTCAAAAATGTTGCAAACGAGTAATTAGGGATCCGTTTTTATAAACCAAATGCGAGTCTGTTTGGTATTTGCTGCACTGCAAAAACAAAACCTTTTTTTCTGAATGTCAATTTACATTTTTTTCAACAGTGACTTGGTCTTTTTCACATCCAAAACTGTAAATTTAACAGTATTTTACTGTACAAATACATTACGGTTCGATATATACAGTTATTCACTGGATATAGTAAGGAAACTTACTGTTAAACAATTAACAGATTTTTACCATTGCATTTTTACAGTCTTTTACCATTAAAATCACAATCATTTTTTACAATAATGACACTGATACGATACCAGTATTTATAGTAATGTTGTTATTTTCAAGTACAGTACAGTAAAACTGATGATTTCATGATTTTCTCTGTCTGGTTCATTGTATGTACACTTTTTTCCACGTTAAAAATTATAAAGAATTATAAAGAATTTTTAACGTGAAAAAAGTCTCTTATGCTCACCAAAGTTGCATTTCTTTCCTAAAAAATACAGTAAAGAATAGTTATATTTTTAAATATGATCACAATTTAAAATAACTGTTTTGTACTATAATATATATAATATAATTTATTCATGTGATGGCAAAGCTGAATTTTCAGCATTATTACTCCAGTCTTCAGTGTCACATGATCCTTCAGAGATCATTCTAATATGCTGATTTGATGCTCAAAAATATTTCATATTATTATCAGTGGTGAAAACACTTGTGCTGCCTCATATTTTTGTGGAAACTGTGATACATTTTTTTTTTTCAGGATTCTTTGACGAATAGAAAGTTCATAAGTACAGAATTTTTTAACCATATAAATGTATCTAATGTCAATTGTGATCAATTTATCGCTGAATAAAAATATGAATTTTTAAAGAAAAATGTATTTCTAATTTCTGGTACACTGGAAGGTATTGTTTTAGAGTATAAGTACAACTACATAGCTTTTCAAATAATTATTTTCATGTTATGGCTGATTAAAAAGAGATTTTATTGCACAGTACAAAATAAACTTTCAACAGAAAAAGGATATTCTGTTGCAAACTGGAAAGAATAAGGATTAATATTATATGAAATATAGTCAAAACCAGTATACTCTGCAGTTGCTAAAACTAAACTAAACTAAACTGATCTCTAGTTGTGCGATCTTGCTGAGGCAGGCCTGGTACTTGTGTTTGCAGAGCTCGAGGGATTCGCTAAGAGGTTGCAGTCGTGCCTCTGCGTCTGTGGCCAGTTTCTCAGCCTCCAGTAGACCTACCTTTAGTTGAATCAACTCTGCATCCTGACTGCGGAGAGCTGCCACCCTGCCGGAGACCTGACACACACAAACACTTATATTTAGAAGCAGAAGTTATGAAATAGTGAAAGTGAAGTCTGCTGAGCTGTCTCTTCGCTAAGAGGTTGCAGTCGTGCCTCTGCGTCTGTGGCCAGCTTCTCAGCCTCCAGTAGACCTGCCTTCAGCTCAATCAACTCTGCATGCTGACTGCGGAGAGCTGCCGCCCTGCAGGAGGCCTGGCACACACAAACACTTATATATAGAAGCAGAAGTTGTGATATAGTGAAAGTGAAGTCTGCTGCGCTGTCTCACCTCGTCCTCCGTGCCTCTCTGCTGTCTGTGGGCCGTCTCCAGCTCTCGGCACAGACTCTCCAGGTTATCTCTGTGCTGCTGCAGATGACTTTGTGTGCTCTGCAGCTCTTCCTTAAGGGCCTGCACCTCCTTCACCCGGCTCTCCTTCTGTTCCTGCACCTCCTCTCGCAGATCACACAGCTCGTCCTTTTGAACTTTACACTGACACACAGCAGACAACGCAAATGAGCAATAAACAGACCGTGCTTCAAAACCTGTTGTGCTTGACAGAGTGAAAAAGCTATCGAGGCTAACTTGATAGCATTTTTGAACACCATAAGTGTGTCGAAATGTTCAAATCAACTGAACAGCCAAGGGTTATTATAGTTAACTAAAACTTAACAAAATTTAAATTAAAAACTATAATAGTCAATGATACAAACAGGTCACACTTTAGTTTGGGGACCAATTCCCACTATTAACTACTTTTGCCTCAATAAACTTGTTAAGCAACAAATTAGGAGTTTATTGATAGTTGTCAAGTTTAGCTATTGAGTAGGATTAAGGGATCTAAAATATGGACATGCAAAATAAGGCATTAATTTGTGCTAATAAACAGCCAATATGCTAGTAATATGCATCTTAATAAGCTGGTCGGTTGGTTGTATTTACATTTATTGCCATATCAGCTTCATCGGCAGATGTATCGGTATTACATGGTATATACAAATTAAACATTCAACAACATAATATCATAAATACAATATAATAAAAACAAACATTTTGTAAAATTGACTTTAGAGAAAAAGGCCAGATTAAGTAACACTTTATTTTAAGGTCCAATTCTCACTATTAACTAGTTACTTATTAGCATGCATATTACTAGCATGCTGGCTGTTTATTAGTACTTATAAAGCACAAATTAATGCCTTATTCTGCATGGCCATGTTGTAGATCCCTTAACCCCTAAATTTAACAACTACCTTGCTAACTATAATAAGCAGCAAATTAGGAGTTTATTAAGGGAAAACTCTTAGTTAATAGTGAATATGTGTTCCCTATTCTAAAAGATTATTTAAATGTACTTGTGATAAAAATTGTAAAGGTTTTTCTGGTATGTTAAAGGGGTCATATGATGCGATTTCAAGTTTTCCTTTCTCTTTGGAGTGTTACAAGCTGATTGTGCATAGATAAGATCCCTGAAGTTGCAAAGACTAAAGTCTCAAAACCAAAGAGATATTCTTTATCAAAGTTAAGACTCTGCCACGCCCCCCTAAAACGGCTCATTCTAACACGCCCCCACATATCTACCTCACTATGTGGAAATATTTGCGTAATGCCGCCCAAATGTTGTTGTTGGATGTAATAATGAACATAGCAGTCGTCATTTACTCCCGACATCTGAGCCTCTGAACTCGCAGTGGATTATATTGTTTCTGAAGGGAATGCGCCCCCGATCTACATAAATGCGTCTATGTTCGCGCGAATCATTCATGATCCAGCCTCATCTACAGAAGAAGTGAGTATAATGTTTTGTAATGAATCTTTGCAAATCGCCTTTCCTAATAATGTGCTGATTAGCAAGTTTCACGATGAATGCGGCTAAAGTAAACAAAGTAAATAGTCTCTCAGAGAGCAGCTCGGAAGAGAGGGGCGGGGTCAGCAGAGCTCATTAACATTTAAAGGAAAATGCTACAAAAACGGCTTGATCTGAAAAGAGCTGTTTTTGACAGGATAAAAAAGGTGTTTTTTACACTACCATTGAGAAATTTTAACCAAACTATATGTTACAGACTTTCATTAAGACCCTAAAGTATCATATCAACTTGTGGAAAATCGGCATCCTATGACCCCTTTAATAGTGAGAACTGGTCCCTAAACGAAAGTGTTACAGCAAATATAACAGTGGAACGGTCTATGGTGCCCAAAAACACAGCAGCTGTCACGAACACATCTTGTTCAGTTTTATAGTTTCATTGTCATGTTCAGTTTAGTTTCTAGGTCATGGTTTTCATTGTCTCTGCTCTCGTTCATTTGTTACCACAATTTCTCATTAGTTACACACCTGTTGCCTGTTTCGTTAATTACCGGTTTCAGTGTATGAAAGCCCTCTGTTTCCTTGGTTCAATGTTTTGCATTAATGTCAGTGTTTAAAGTGTATGTGTAGCTTTGCTTTGTGTTTTCATTAAAGTCTTCATGAATCTCAATCGTTCTGTGTCACGCTCTCCGCTTTGGATTAATCTACAAGCTGTTATGTGACAATGGCGTTCCAAGAGTGCTAATAAATACTGTAACAGCACTCTTTATGTCACTTCTCTTGCCTGTGTTTGTGGCGTCCCAGATCAGAGTATGTGAGCGGTGTGGAACCGGAATGAAATAGTAATGCACCGCAGTTGAAATTCTGGTTGATACCGATGAGCTCATAATTATTTTCAAGTTATTGCCAATATTAAAATTCTGTATGATTATTATGTCTAAACAAATGAACAATAAAACACTAAAAACTAAAACTTGCCTTTTTAAATTTAAATATAGGCATCACAACATTATAATCTGCAGAATAAAAAATGGTTATTCATTTTCTAAAGATGACATTTTACAGTGTTTTCAAATTATTCATCTTTTTAAAGATTAACTTTAAGTGAGCTAAATGATGGCTAAGGTGATCTAAATGTTAAGATAGGGAAAATGTGCAGCACAATTACATATTGAGTGGACATATAGTTTATACAGTATATATATATGCAATATCAACCGATATTGATACCTTCTAAAAATCTCTAATGTCGACAAATTACTGATGGAATGGTAATTTATGGCAAAATTCATAAATCTGAGCCCATGCAACTGAATCAATATGTGTTCAACTGTCCTGTCGCTTTACTGCAGTGAATTCCATTGTAAAAATGTCCACTTGAAAAGGACTGTGCAATAGAAATGCAACGGCACAAGTGATCCAACTTTTTGTTTTAATTTCCGTGTTACCTGTGTGGGGCGAAATTAAAGTTTTTAGAGCTTTAACGACACTATTAAACTAATGCAGAATATAATGTATATTGGGGCAAATATTTACTGATTACATACTGTACTGATTCAGTAACATTGTGATAACTAGGGATGCACCTGGTATCGGTATCGGGCCCGATACTGAGCTCCTGTACTCGTACTCGTTAAAATACCCCGATACCAAACGCCGATACCACACGACATGTGATAAGCGCCATATTCAAACAAAGAAACACCGACAACATTAACAACAGACAGCAGAATGGAGTTAAGGATGTCTACTACGAAGTATATGTATGCAATGAATATAACGTTAAACATTCAGTATTAACGCCTGTATAGCTGATGTGCGCGAGCTGATAAACCAAGCACGCTGAGTGGATTGAGCGCACGGCGGCGCAGATGCGCGAGCTTGTCGAGCGAATATGCCTTTCTCACAGACATCACTGGAAAGTTTGTAGTTCGGGCGGATATGTAAAAAACAAGCAAGTAAAACAATGCTTAACGGTAGGGAGAGAGAGAGAGAGAGCGCGCACACTTCTGTTGTGTGATCTTTGATGTTCACTCACTTAGCACACGCATCATTTGGATTAAAACTAAATCGTAAAAATAAGACCATTTATAGGGGCATTCACTATAAACATAATTTATTTTCAACCTTAGGCATACACGACTTTCTGGCGAAAGTGAATTCTAGCAGCCTGTGTGAAATGCGCTAGGCTGTACTATTCTGCACCAGTACAAATACCTGCACGCGTTGCGCGTGTTTTGCTTGCTTGAGTGTTTCTGCATTATATGAGTG